TAGCATATATAGAATTGTTATATAATTGCGATCAATTTTTTAGATAATAATAATAATTTCTGAAAGGACGTTGAACTCAAAATCGTAGTAATAACACACAATAATAACATATAACAATAGCATAATAAGGCATAATAATTATAATATTGTCTATACGTGTGTGTGTCTTGTGTGGCAAATCTTATTATTTACACTTCATTAATCAACAAACAAACACAACGCACAATAATAATAATAATAATAATAACAACAACAGCAAGTCTAATAACACACAGAACGGCGCTTAATAATAATAAGCGATAATAGTACGCTACAGATTACGACAAATGCTCGGTGGATGCAGTTGAAGATGCAAAATGAAAAGCAGAAAAACTTTATAAACGACTTGAAGCGAATCTCTTCACACCTATCATCACACTTTGTAAGTGACAAATATGAAGAGCTTAAGATCAATTAGTGCTTCTTCAATGCTCATACATATGTTTTAGTTAAGGATTTTCAAGCTGTAATGAGGATAACTAAGAAAATGGAACATGAACGATAAGTAAATCTCTCTCGATCTATGACTAAAAAGTAAGACCAAGAATATTAGCAATCTAGTTAATATAAAATTGATAGCACTATGACAGACATCTGTCGTCACATCATAAATGTCATTAGTGTTTCCGCAGCGCTTGGCTTTGCACGAAATAAAAATCAAGGTGAAGTTAACAACGCTCTTCGATTGCTGTTGTGTTGTGCACTGTGAATTCCTTTCAATGAAAAAACTGAATTGAGTGCTTTGAAGGCGATGAACGGCAAGCAATAAAGGGGATTTGGAAGAATAAATGGATTAAAAAAAAAAAAAAAGAAATAATTAAATTGTCTTTAATTTTTGGACACAGGATGTTCAATGCAAATTATTGCTACCTCTTTTCGGATATTTCATGATGCCTGAATTCTCGAATGACTTATCCTATTTATATATATTTATAAGTAAATAGGTATGAAAACAGATAGGCGCCCAGGTAGGTATATAGTCCAATATATAATGCTTAAGCTTTTTTCCTTAATATTTCGTTATGCCTGAATTCTCGAATGACTTATCGTATTTGTATACATTTTATTGACATTGAATAAGTAAAGAGGTATATAAATAGAAAGGTGCCCAGGTAGGTATATATTCCATTATATAATGCTTATGCTTTTTTCCTTAATATATTGCTAATGTTTTCGAATATTTTATGATGCCTGAATTCTCGAATGACTTATCGTAGTTGTATACATTTTATTGACATTCAATTGAGTAAAGAGGTATGAAAACAGATAGGCGCCCAGGTAGGTATATATTCGAATATAATATAATGCTTACCCTTTTTTCCTTAGTATTTTGCTATTGTTTTCGTATATTTCATGATGCCTCGAATGACTTATCCACTTTGTACATATATTTTATTGAAATTGAATAAGTAAAGAGGTATGTAAATAGATAGGCGTCCAGGTAATTATGTGAACATATATGTAATGCTCATGTTTTTTAATAAATTACTTAAGACCGTTCGTTAGTATCATGTTTATTATTGTTATTATTATTATTAATTTCGCCAGAGAAATAAATTCTAAGCGCTAGCATCTAAGGCATCGGCTCTACCGCACTTGAGGTTCGAACCTATCCATATATATTTTATTTACAAACGCAATAAAGAAGCGAATAGACTTTTGTTTGATAAATAATTTTTCTAATGTTTTTAGTGCAATCAAGACAATATAACGCATTTTAAAAGCATATATTAACAGCACCGGGTTTTTTGAAAAAAAAAAAAATAAAAATAAATAAATAAATAAATAAAAGCAAAACAAAACATTAATGGATGAGGAGTTTGTTAAAGACATTTATTTATATGGCACGCAATAGTGAAACAATGGATAGATTGAAGAAAACCATCGACAAGAGCACTTTATAGATTTTGATTACTCGAATAATGTGCTTTTTTTTTCTTTTTTTGCTTTTTTCTTACAGAAACATTTTCATTTTGTTTTGCTATAAAATAATTATGCGAACGATTGGTAAGTTAAGCGTTTTGCTTGTGGATTAAGGAAATGGAAACTCAAAGGATTGGTTAAGAGAGAGAGAGAGAGAGAGAGAGAGAGAGAGAGAGAGAGAGAGAGA